TGTTACTACTGCGGAAACTGCTCGAAAGACCATGGGGACACACCAACGACACATTAGTGCGGACACCGAACGTCGACGATTGACGAGCAGACACCTCCACTGTCACAGGCCACACCATGGACCCATTCTGACACCAAGTCATCGCCGGGACCGTCTTCAGTGGACAACACAGCACATTGGTGCCACCAGCAGTGGTGATGAGTCCTCTTCTGAGACGAGAGCCGTTACTGTATCTCAACAGCAGATGGCAGAGGGAGAGTCTGACGCCGCCGTGGGGAACGTTATTTGGATGTTTGCGTTGTTGAGAGAGACTCTTGGGGTGGTCCGAGCATCATGGTGTGGGGTGGAATCGGTCTTGCACAGAGGGTCGGCCCTGTGGTATGCCAGAACATTGGTTCAGGGAGAGGCAATGGTGTCACAGCAGCTCGGTACATTAATAAAATCTTGAGACCATACCTCATTTGACACGTCGACGCAACCACGAGTTTCAGCATGATAACGCCTGTGCCCACACTGCGAGAGCAACAAGAGCCTTCCTCCAGCAGAATGGCATCAGAACCATGCAGTGGCATTAATCCCATTGAGCGCCTGTTGGACGAGATTCAAAGACGGCTGAATGACGTCCGACCAAGGCCGACAGCTGCCGCTGAACTGCGTCAGGCGTTCCTCAGAGTGTGAGCTCAAGTGCCTATGGCCTTCATCAACCGCCTCATCCATTCCATGTATCGACGTTGCACGGCAGTCATCAATGCACGTGGCGGACACACGAGATACTGACTTGTGATGCCATTTTCTCAGAGATTAGTGTTGTGTTTCACTTTAAGAACATTTGACACTTTAATTTCATTGATAATCAGTTTTGCCCAGTCTCAAAGTATGTTTACAGTGTTTCGACAAATAAGGTTTCTCTCCTTCCATGGTGACGTTTTTTTGCGGTTTAGTATATTTTCCTACCTCACACAAATCTTGCTTTGCGTTGTTGTTTTTTAAGAGTATATATTGGGGAGTACTGTTCTTCTCCTTAGTACCATACCTTGTTGTGTAAAGCTGGGTTTGGGACTATATCCCATTGTGCCGTTCCTTACCTGACCTCACCTGACCTCACCTGACCACACTTAACCTCACGTGACCTTTCCTGCCCTTAACTGACCTCACTAAACCTCACGTTACCTAACCTGACCTTACCTGACTTTACCTGTCCGTCGCCAGTTGCTGAAGGGAATCCATATGACACTCTTTCTTGCTTATTCGTTGATTAACACCCAGATGATCGAGTGTGACCAGGCAATCCAGTGATCATGAGAATCGATCCAAGCAGTTGGGAAACGATGGCATACAATCATGACAAATATATTGGAATTTACGTCTATACCTGAATGTGACTTTTAAGAAATGTTACTTTCGTTCTGAAACAATCTTAATGAGCTCTTCTATTGCTTGAACTGTTAGAGACACAGAACGTAGGTTCCTGGTCCGCTTTTTAATCTAACCACAATGAAATATTGTTGCTACTCCTAATTCTGTTCAAGGTCATCTACTGTTGACCGATCCGAAACTTGGACTCAAGTGCTACTTCGGCCCAACCACCCCGTACCAATACCGCCTGAGGGGGCCGGGCACGTGGTCGGGGGCCCGGGAGGCCATCATGACCCAGACAGATAGAGTGGAGTACCCCTTTAAGACCAGACCTCTCCCTGGAGGTACAGAGACACAGTCGTCCCACAAACTCCTCACACTGGTGTTTCTGGTGCTGGTCATTGCCGTCCTTTACCAACTGTTCTTTTAAAAGCGACGTGACGAGTTTGTAAAGTTCTGTTTGCTCGCTGTTGTATTATCTTATATTCAGATATTTACATAATATACACTTTGGAAATTCAAAATCAGGGAAATCAATACAACCGTTGCCTTTACCTTTGACATGGCCATTGACAATTATTACTTCGTCGGGTAAAGGTCAGAAAACGGAATCCCCAAATCAACGTAAATACTGCTGAAATCTTAATTGGCTATGCCACTTCTACGCCTCGAATGTGATTATGCTGATACATTTTCATATGCGGAATAATAACGTGCGTCCAAGACCTAGTTAATATATTTAACTTAGTTATGATGATACGGGGGCACGGGTGGCCCAGTCGTCTAAGGCGCCGCGGGTCGCTGGGCACGCCAGAACCCCCGCAGTTACCCCCCCCCCCCCCCCCCCCCCCCCTGGATTTTTTATAGGAAACAGTTTTATTTGAATCGGAAAACCATTGGAAAACTTAAACAACTATGGGACTGTTCAGCTTAGATTTTACGTCGTTGCTTTGACACTGACAACTTGACATTCTTTGAGGGTGGGGAGGGGGTCGGTGTGCCGAAATGCTTTTTGCGCCAAAGAATAATGACGTATTGCCTCATGTTTAACCAGAAACAAGATGTTCTCTAGCCCTGTCGCATGTGGCTATTGGATGACCTACTCAGGGTTGTTTTGCCTTTTATTTAAAAAAACATGCTGCTGAATCAACCAGTAACATGATATTTACACAGTTTTGTTTGTAATGTGTGCATGTGTTTCCTTTAGCTCGCTTGTCTTACATTTTATATTAATATACATAAACTACTTAATGTACTGTATTCATATATATGAACTACTAAATGTACTGTATTTATATATATGAACTACTTAATGTACTGTATTTATATATATGAACTACTAAATGTACTGTATTCATATATATGAACTACTTAATGTACTGTATTTATATATATGAACTACTTATATTAATATAGAAGCTGTGCTTGTCTACTATAATGCTACATGAGATAGGACACCCCAACAACTGTCGGACAAGGACCTTTTCAGTAAAGATGTTACCGAGATGCTTTGCCACCGACATTTGACATTCTTTGTGGGTTGGGAAGTTTGTGCTGGAAAACTTTATGTATTACAAAATAATTATAAGGAATATTTGCCTCCAGTTATACCAGAAACAAGATGTTCGGAGTCCATGTTGCATATGGGTATTGGAAGGTCTGCTCCTTGTTTGTTCTGCCTTTTATATACGACATGCTGCTGAATCGGCCAGTAACATTATATTTACACAGTTTTGTTTGCGATGTCTGTATTTTATATGCATGTATGTCCTTGTAGTTTGCTTGTCTTACATTCTGGGTAGCTATTAGATCAGGAATCGTTAGAGTGAAAACAATCGTTAGAGAAGAAATCGGTGCCTAAATAGAATTACTTGTAAAACATCGATTGTTGCACGGAAAGTAAGTCACTGTGAGTGTTTACATTGTGGAGAAACACGTGGCCGGTGTGGGCGTGTCCTATCCCTTATCACGTGTGGTCAGTGGAAGCTCCAGATGCACCAGGAAGTGGCCGACCTGGTGATGTTACGTCATCATGTGAGTGTGTAGATTTGTTTCTGCCACAAATTGTGAGAATGCTTACACGACGGTTTTAGAAACATTTCAGATACATCATGGTGGGGTACATGAGTACTAGCAGCAATCGACCCCGAACGAACCACTGGGGTATCTCATTCTTTACAGGAGAAATCACTTGAATATGTTGACTCCGGAGTGAGTGACTTTGGTGTAACGCCCTTTGAACAGTATTCCTGTTATATGACGGCGTGTCAGCTTAATATTGGAGAAAACCCCGAAATTATTTAGGTCTCACACGATTACCAACTTGGTGAAACCCACGAGAACGGATATTGAGCTAACAGAATTAGAAACATAGGAATCAAGAGCTTCGAGTGATTTCTCAGACTAAAACCTTGTTATGGTTGATACTTTCCTTTATGATTTTGCATAATGGCCTAGAGTTGCGTCAGTTGTACTTGTTAAAATGCACATTCACAATGGTCAGTGAATTCCTGGCTCAGAAACAACAGCAACCAGATGACATTGTCATAATGTTTAATCAGTAGGACAAAGTTGTTGATGTTTTCGAGTCAATAGAATGAATATGGTTTTACGCCGCTTTTAGGATATTTCCAGCGATACGGCGGGGGACACCAGAAATGGGCTTCACACATTGTACCCATGTCGGGAATCGAACCCGGGTCTTCGGCGTAACGGGTGAACGCTTAATCAGTAGGCTACCTGACCGCCCCTCCAGTCAATTGAGGACATGTGATGTATGTTATGTGATTCAAATGTCTGTTACTTTGGGAACAAAACAACAATTTTCTTATTTTATCCAAGTTGCTCTCAGTTATTTCATTGTTATATTTTGATTAACTATCAGTGATGTTAACTTATATATTCGCCTTTAGGCGTACACACGCTGTGTGAACCCAACTGTTATATGTGAACTTAAATCCTTATTGTTTTAGCTTGTTTGTTATGGCTTCGTTTTAATCAATCCTGAAACTACCAGTTGGTTTATCTTTGTCAATGCGACTTAATGCAGTCGGTTTGTCTATTTAGTTAATTGATATATTTTACGCTTTCACGTATGTGTATTCAATCCCGCTCTTAAATCATTTTGGGGGGCACGGGTGGCCCACTAGTCTAAGGCGCCGCGATTCGCTGTGCAGAGTTGCGTCCCTTGGGCACGCCAGAAACCTATGATTGTTGGTTCGAATCCCGGTTCGCCCCGATTATGTACCTAGGTTTGTCAGCACCATACCCGTGCTCGTGGGTTTCACCGAAGTGATAAACGTCATGGGGCATGCCTCACTTTGGGCTTTCCTTTCACATTAAGCTGACACGCCGTGATATTACTGGAATACTGTTAAAGTGGCGTTAAACCCAACTCACTCAGTCACTCACTTAAATCATTTTGAGAATTACGAGTCGGCTCCTCTGTGTGTGAGACGTTACTGGGTGAAGCAGTCTAAGCATTAAGTGTTATTTCTCTCGAGTTACCTATCGATTTTATATTGTCAGATAAATACCGTATTTCATCAGTGAAGTATATCTATATATATATAAGTCATGTTACCATGTGGAAACAAATATTTAAATCCAGTTTTAAAGTTCGCGTTGTCCAGTGAGTCATGGTAAACACGAGGTTTATATTAACTACGTTTCCGCCGTGCCTCAGTACGTTAAATACAATATGCACTATGCACCAACACACACAGACCGCGTGGGGCTTACAGCTTCAGCAATTAAAGTCGGATATGCACTCTACCGCCTAACTAAGCTGCCTTTCAACGGAGCCCCCAGAGTAACAGTCCTTTGTGTGCTAGATCGCACGTAGAGTAAACACTGTTGACAGCGCGTTTGGTCGAAGTCCAATCGGTGTATCTTTACGATATCCTTGGTAAGATTCAAAATGGCGAAACGGGTGGCGATCATTGGAGCCGGGTGTAGCGGTCTCACTGCCATCAAATGTTGTGTTGACGAAAAGCTGGAGCCGTTTTGTTTTGAGCGAACTGACGAGCTCGGGGGATTATGGAACTTTACGGAAAAAGTCCGCGAGGATCAGGGGTGCGTGATGAAGTCGACTGTCATCAACACCAGCAAGGAGATGATGTGTTTCAGCGACTTTCCTATACCCAAAGAGTACCCCAATTTCATGCACAACACACAGGTAAACGCATTGCTTCGATGAAAATGAACCGTTCGTGTTTGTTCACATCGAATGGGGCCCAATATGGGTTTTATTTTGTATTAAATTTATATTCAAGGTAAAATGATCCCTTCGACAGATGACACTTTTAATGTTATTATTTATGATCAGCTGAATATTATGCAGCTTGTCATATTAGTTTGTTTATCCCAATTTGAGTCAAAACGGATAAACATATTGCCTGAGAGCGAGTGAGTGAGTGAGTATGGTTTTACGCCGCTTTTAGGAATATTCCAGCAATATCACGGCGGGGGACAGCAGAAATGGGCTTCACACATTGTACCCATGTCGGGAATCGAACCCCGGTGTTCGGCGTGACGAGCGAACGCTTTAACCACAAGACTACCCGACCGCCCCTCTAACAATCAGTACGAGGGAGCTTTGTATTTTATATTGATTTCTCAGTGGCATCTCTTGGTCCAGCCTCTGTTACCGTTTTTTACCAGCATGGCATGCAAGTCAACAAAAACGATAACACCGTTATGGTATCGCTCTAAAATTTGGGGGTATTTTCAAGTACAAACATATATTTATTATCTAAATAGTATATTTATTAAGGGAAATGCGGGCCACCCCAAGAGTATCAAATGGATGGTCCCATGTTTGTCTTGTCTGGTCCAATCTGGATTAATTTCAGATCAGTGTGGTACAGCTTGAATGCTGTTCTATGCGGCATCTACCAACATTCACTCACTTTTGTTTTTCGGATTCCCTGTCGGGGTTACTTCCCTTATGCGTGACAGATATGTATGTGTGCGGGTTCGAATCCCAGGTTCTAGGTTTGGAACACCATACCAGTGCTCGCGGGAATCACCCAAATGGTAAACGTCTGAGACCTGAAGTACTTCAGGCTTTCTCCCCACATCAAACTGACATGCCATGATGTAACTAAAATACTGTTCAAAGCGGTGTTAAACACAACTCACTCAGTATCAAACTCACTACACTTTTCCTCGGATGATTAACGTCATTCAGCTATATGGTACTGCATACGGATGAACGTCATTCAGCTATATGGTACTGCATACGGATGAACGTCATTCAGCTACATAGCACTGCATATGGATAAACGTCATTCAGCTATATGGTACTGCATAGGGATCAACGTCATTCAGCTATATGGTATTGCATACGTATGAACGTCGTTCAGCTATATGGTACTGCATGCGTATGAACGTCATTCAGCTGTATGGTACTGCATACGAAAGAACGTCATTCAGCTATATGGTATTGCATGCGGATGCACGTCATTCAGCTATACGGTACTGCATACGGATGAACGTCATTCCATTATATGGTATCTGCATACGGGTGAACGTCATTCTGCTATATGGTATTGCATACGGATGAACGTCATTCAGCTGTATGGTACTGCATACGGATGAACGTCATTCAGCTATATGGTACTGCATACGGATGAACGTCATTTAGCTATACGGTATCTCCATACGGATGAACGTCATTCAGCTGTATGGTACTGCATACGGATGAACGTCATTCAGCTATATGGTACTGCATACGGATGAACGTCATTCAGCTATACGGTATCTCCATACGGATAAACGTCATTCAGCTATATGGTACTCCATACGGATGAACGTAATTCAGCTATATGTTATTGCATACGGATGAACGTCATTCAGCTATATGGTATCTACATACGGATGAACGTCATTCTGCTATATGGTATTGCATACGGATGAACGTCATTCAGATACATGGCACTGCATACGGATGAACGTCATTCGGCTATATGGTACTGCATACGGATGAACGTCACATTTGCACACTTTGTTATCTCATGAGTCCAGGTCAAACGAAATTACACTGCTTTATCAAGATAGAAACAGGCGGCGACATCAACAGTACAGAACTCGACCTATTTTCATTTAATTTGTCATATGTTGGGCGATGGGGCAGCCTTGTGGTTAAAGCGTTTGCTCATCACGCCGGCGAGTGATGGGGAAAATGTGTGAAGTCCCATTTCGGCCGTGATATTGCTGGAATGTACTTAAAGCGGCCTAATGGGCGAAATCACTCACTCACTCATTTGTCAGATTCTGGAGTATCTATCATAGTTCAAACAATGCAGTAGGTTTGTGTGTGTAGGAGGAGTTATCTCAAGAATTTTGTTACAAAACTGCTAAAAACAATTTTAATAAACTATACAAGTCATCGGCAGGACCTCATAAAAGTAAAAGAGAAGCTATCGTAAGAATTGCAGTTCAATGTGTTACAAACCAAACCAAAAGCTAAAGAAAAACTATTCAGGTGACCTCATGAATCTATTGTCAAGTTTTCGGACTCCAGGTATGGCAGTACTTCAAGATGTACGCAGATGCCTTCAACCTGAGCAAACACATCCAATACAACAAAGAGATCCTGTCCGTGAAGAAATCACGTGACTACGAGCAGACCGGAAGGTGGGATCTGCAGGTCAGAGATCACAAGACCGGAAGTGAGGAGACGCAGACGTTTGACGCGGTGATGGTGTGCACCGGTCATCACGCCAGCAAGAACGTGCCGGACTTTACAGGTCAAGATGACTTCCAGGGGGAGATCCTTCACTCTCACCACTACAAGGACTGGACCGGGTACACTGGGAAGAGGGTGGTGGTTGTCGGGGTCGGCAACTCAGGCGGGGACGCAGCTGTGGAGCTGAGCAGGGTGGGGCAGGTGAGAGATGATGACCTTTTAATTGGCTTTATTTAGTCCTGGATTCACGTTATATGTCAACATGGCGGATAGGGGAGGCAGTATGATGAAACATACAGTATATACCACTCATCAGAAGTCAGAGAATATCTAATTTGTTTTCATATGGTTCTATTATTTATTATTCGTGCATGACAGATGGGTATTGCAACATACAGCCTTCAAATTGTAGGGAGTCACATCCTGTGTTTACTTTGGAAACGATATCAATTAAAGCTGATTCGGGATATTTGGATGAGTTGGATCACGTCCCCAGTGTACCATGCTTGTGGGAATAACGAGGAACGTGTGGTCAGGCACTTTGGCTTGGTCGGTTGGTGTCAATGTGTCCCGATAGTGTAGATCGTGCTAACGCTATGAGTGTCAATTTTTTGCCAGTCTCAGACGCCATTGTCTTCATGCTGTGGTGACATGGCTGGAATATTGCTAACTGAGCGCAAAGAACATTCACTTGTCATCATTCTAAGGGCGAGCCCTTGGGGATTCCGGGTTAGAATTAGTCCCCAGAAATATATGCTGGTAGTAGGAGCGAGTGACATGGTGCTTGCGTGTCATCATACGCTGACCGCGTGGATCGTTGCTCACAATATTAACCACTGGATTGCCTGGTCCAGACTCGATTATTTACTGGCCGCCGTCATATAGCTGGGATATTGCTGATGGCGGCGTTAAAAAACAAACAGACACATACACATACACACACTTGGTTGTATAACGTTCTGCAAAAAGCCACATGACCAGGAATAAATAGACCAATCTGCACGGGCCCCTAGCCATGGGCTGTTTTTGGGTATTGCGTTTCCACTTCCATAATTGAGTTTCTACGATACATGAATTCCAGCTTCTTGTGTCCACAGGTGTTTCTGAGCACGAGGCGCGGTACCTGGGTGCTCAACAGGATTTCGGACAATGGCATCCCCGTAGACTTTCTACGATCAACACGTTTCATCAATAAGATTCGACACACTTTGTCCCAGGATACTCTCAGCAGCATCGCTCAGAAACAGCTCAACAAACGTTTCGACCACGCATTATACTCCTTGAAGCCTAAACACTCGGTGTTCGCCCAACATCCCACAGTAAACGATGACTTGCCCAATAGAATCGCGACTGGCCGATTGAAGGTAAAAGCGGACATCAAGAGGTTTACCAAGACTGGCGTGGAGTTTGTTGACGGGACGATGGAAGATAACATAGACGTTGTCATACTGGCTACAGGGTATATATTCGGCTTCCCGTTTGTTGACAAGTCTGTGATCGATGTTCAGAAGAATAAGGTCAAGATGTTCAAGTATATGTTTCCACCTGACCTGCCGAAACAGACATTGGTGGTGATTGGTTGTTTTCAACCTCTTGGCGCCATTATGCCCATTGCGGAATTGCAGTGTCGCCTAGCAACCAGAGTATTCAAAGTAAGAAGTTTTCTTTTTTTTCTGGTTAAATGTTGGGAAAATGTTTATATCGGAAAATATGCGACACTCTTAATTTATCTGCATAATCCGATTCTGCAAATGTTAAACGTCTGTTTAAACAGTGTCCCAATATTTTAGTGTTTTGTGTTAGCAGGGACATCTTCTCTGTGTTCCTTGTACCTCATGTGTATTCCATGGTGTTCCATATGTCTTGTTCTCCGTCCACCAGGGCACGTGCAGTCTCCCGTCAAAGTACGAGATGTGGGCGGACATTGGGAAGAAGGAGGCGGCCATGGCGGCGAGATATGTCGAGTCCCAGCGACACACAATCCAGGTCGACTACGTCGACTTCATGGACGAACTGGCGGAACTTGTAGGATGTCGACCAGCTATAGGTGAGGACTGGGTTATCTCCCTTAGAACCACACCAACCGAAGTTGTTATATGTAGTTGTGTGATTGAGTGGGTATTTTTTTAACACCGCTTTCAGCAATATCATAGCCACGAAATGGCTATTTCCAATCCCTTGTGTGTAGCTAATATGTAGACGAGTGTTATTTGCCCTCCGGTTGGGTGTTGGGTAAAGCTGGTAAGTAGGGGAGTTGAGGATTATCCCTCATAGTGTCGTGCCTTTCCTTTCCTGACCTTACCTTACTGACCGCCTCCGTGGTCTAGTAGTAGAGCGTCCGCCCGGAGAGCGGAAGGTTCAGGATTCGATCCCCGGCCGCGTCATACCAAAAGACGTTTAAAGATGGTACTTGTTGTTACCCTGTCTGGCGCTCGGCATTACGGGGCTAAAACAAGGACTGGTCAGCTCGGAAACAGTATACTGTGTCTGAGTGGGATATTCATATTAAACTGCGGCATGGTGTTTCAGTGAGCTAGCACTATGAATCGGCATCAGTCCGGACTAGTACAAGCAGCCACACAAACACACTCGTACATGCACGTCGCTATATAAGTGCAATAATCTTGGACGCGACGTTAAACCCCCCTTTCACCTCACCTCGCCTTACCCTACCTCCCTGTCCACTTCGTCCCAATCGACCATCGTAGGAAGGCATCCATATGCCACACATTCGTAGATTAACGCCGCAATCAGAAATACTCGAGCTGTTTGACAGTAGCATATAAATAATCGAGTCTGACAGACATACCAGTGATTGGTATCATGAGCATCGACCCATGCAGTTGGGAAACGATGACACGCAATCATCGAAGTCAGCTGAATTTGACCGTTAAGAAATTATACTTTGGTCCTAAAACAATTTTACTGATCGGTTCCATTACCCCGGATAGAGACACAGAAGTAGGTTCCTGGTCCGCTTTTTTATTTTTAATCTGACCACAGTGAAATATTGTTGCTACTCTTCTTTCCGTTCAAGGTCATCTTCTATTGACCGATCCGAAACTCGGACTCAAGTGCTACTTCGGCCCAACCACCCCCTACCAATACCGCCTGAGGGGGCCGGGCACGTGGTCGGGGGCCCGGGAGGCTATCATGACCCAGACAGATAGAATGGAGTACCCCTTTAAGACCAGACCTCTCCCTGAAGGTACAGAGACACAGTCGTCCCACAAACTCCTCACACTTATGTTACTGGTGCTGGTCATTGCCGTCCTTTACCAACTGTTCTTTTAAAAGCGATGTTAGGAGTTTGTAGATAGATGTTTACTCGTGGATGTTTTGTCTTACATTCAGGGATTTACGTTATTGACTCAAATGACCATACGCTTCCCATGGTGGAATTCCAGATCAAGGAACTGTCAGGGGATTTTCCGATTGACAGTCAAAAACTTTCTGTTAATGTTTAACAACAGGGGCTGTTATCCTACATCTGACTAGGGACAATAATACTAACTTAGGGAAAAGTCAGAGACCGAAACCACTGAATTACTGCTGAATTAAATTTTCACACACTGAATAATAACATGTATTCATGAACTACTTATTATAATAATATACTGTTTTGATAATAATACCACTCAAAAGAAGAAAAGAAAAGTCCAACAGTTAATTTGTCATGGTTGGTGGTATTGCAACACACAGCCTTCCAGTTGTGGGTTTTCTTTGACTTGTTTTGAGCAGTATATATTGATAAGGAACGGCGCTTGTCTGGTCTACGGTACCATGAGGTTGGGAAACTCACCACCTATCAGACAAGGAACTTTCAGGAAAAATGCCTTAGTGCTTTGACACAGACAATTTGACATTCTTTGTGGGAAGGGGTTGGGTGTAAATTGCTGCAAAAAATAAATAATTCTGCCCCAGGTTATACCAGCAACAAGATGTCCGTTGTCCATGTTGCATGTAGGTCACGGGTAGTCTGTCCTTTGTTTGTTTGTCCTTTTACATCTGCCGAATCGAGTATTGTATATGCATGTATGCCCTTTGTAACTTGGCTATCCATGTTGGTAAGCCACATGATCGGACCTCGTCAGGTGAAGACATTCTGGCGACTAGAACCATTTTATAGTAGATTCTCTATGATTTTGCATAATGGGATAGTTGCTTCAGTTTTACTTGTTAGAATGCGCGTTCAGAATGGCCAATGACAAGCTCTGAATCAGCTTCAACCATAGCGTCATCGCAATGGTTTAATCAGCAAGACAAAGTTGTATGTTTCGAGTCAATAGACGGCACGTGCTGCATATACTGTGATTCAAATGTCTGTGTTACGTTGGGAACAATACCACAGTCATCATATATAAACTAAGTTGCTCATGGAGATTTTATTGTTGTATTTTATACGGAAATCTAAAATGTACAGTTTTTAAATATATTTTTGTTTTTCCTCAAAATAAACCACTACAATTTTAACGCGTTCTTCTTTATCACCTGGAGACAAGAGTGAGTGAGTTAGTTGGGTTTAACGCCGCTATGAACTGTATTTCAGTTACATCAAGGCGGAGCGTGAAGATCCGGGTTAGAATAGAATAGCAACCCATGCTTGCCGTAACAGGAGACTATGCTTGCCGTAGACCGCCTCCGTGGTCTAGTGGTAGAGCGTCCGCCCTGAGAGCAGAAGGTCCGGAGTTCGATCCCCGGCCGCGTCATACCAAAAGACGTTAAAAGATGGTACTTGTTGTTACCCTGTCTGGCGCTCGGCATTTAGGGGCAAAAACAAGGACTGGTCGGCTCGGAGTCTGAGTGGGGTATCCATGCAACTGCGGCATGGTATCTCAGTGAGCTAGCACTATAAATCGGCATCAGTCCAGTCTAGTACAAGCAGCACAAACACATACGTACATGCACGTTGCTATATAAGTGCAATAATCTTGGACGCGACGCGACGCATTTCACCTCACCTATGCTTGCCGTAAGTGGTCCGACTCACTGACTTGTCATCGTAACACAATTCCGTATATCGATGTTCATGATTACAATTTACCCGACTCGATTATTACAGACCGCTGTCATATAGCTAGAATGTTGTTGAGTGCGGCGTTAAACAACAAAGAAACAAACATCACGGCGTGCCAGCATGAAGTCTGAAGTCATGTAGGTCACAGCGACGACTGTTGTAGACGTTTTCGATACTGAACAATAAAAGTTGGTGATCTTGAATGTTATTATGAATTTGTGCGCTCAGACTTTACTTAAGTCTACGGCCCGTGAAGATCCGGGGTAGAATATGTCTTCTGCAACCCATGCTTGCCGTAAAGGGCGACTAACGGGATCGGGTGGTCAAGCTCGCTGACTTGGTTGATGCATGTCATCGTATACCAATTGCGTAGATCGATGCTCATGATGTCAATCACTGGATTGTCTGGTCCAGACTCGATTATTTACAGACCGCCGTCATATAGCTGGAATATTGCTGATACCAGCATTAAACAACAAACAAACAAACTTACAAACTTAAGTCTACAAAATTATCCCCAAAGATATTAATGATCTCTACCTTGTTTGGTTCAGTATACTTTCACAGAATGGTCCTGACACACCGGCCGCGTTAAAAGGACGTTAAAAGTTGGTATTTGAAAGAAGCCAGCAGTCTGTGAACCGTGGTTCGAATTCAAGACTCTGTCCCTTTTGGGCTTGTCAGCACGATAACCGTACTCATGGGTTTCCACAAAGCAGTGCTCGTCTACGAATGCTCACCACGTTAACATTCGTAACCACTCGTGTCATTCCGGACATGGCTACGGACATCTGCGAGTGGTAACGAATGCTTATGGTCCATTCGTCACCACTCGCCCCTTTCCGTAACCTGCAAGAAGATTCGGCTTGTCCCGGAATAACACGAGTTGGTCACGAGTAGCTTATGGTCCAAACAAAGGTTGCAGAAGCTTCGTACAATCACTCTTTACTCATACGCTCATTCCACTGGTAATGGTTTGTATTTCATATGAATACCAGTGATTATCTTCGAAAAGAGTGAGTGAGTTGGGTTTAACGCCGCTTGGAACAGTATATAGAACAGTGTTGAAGAACGGCGTGTCAGCTTAATGTGGGAGAAAAGCCCGAAGTGATCGCCATTTGGATATACAGTCGATTAAATCCACCGCCAGTGCTTTACTAGCTATTCTCTCATTTGAAGGATAAAATATATCAGCAGGGCATGAAATCCGTATATTTTGACTCAGCTGATTTTAATTGTGAGGCAAAATTTTAGAATTATGCCAAAGGTTTTTGTTTTTTCCGGATATCGTGGGTCAACGAATGGATATTGTCACGTGACATTGACACTGCCAAGACACGTGTTCATTTCTAAGCGGGAATTGTGATCTCTCTTTCATCCCTTTCTTAACACAACAGTATACACGATGAATGGGAATGTTTCAACCTCACAAAAACATATTTTGCCATCATAAAGGTAGTGCAAAAACTTTCACGTCCACCTCCTACCGGGGCCGGTGGGGTAGCCTAGTGGTTAAAGCGTTCACTCGTCACACCGAAAGCCGGGTTTCGATTCCCCATATGGGTGCAATATGTGAAGCCCATTTCTGTGTCCCCCGCCGGGATATTGCTGGAATATTGCTAAAGGTGGCGTAAAACCATACTCACTCACTCACTCACTCACTCACTTCCAACACATGTACAGATACACCATGGTGTTATATGTAGAGGGGAATGTCCGAGTATCTCTCCATTTCTTAAGGAATGGAAAGTTACGAGGATATTCCCCTACTTAAAACTCATCCCTACTTTTACACTTTGACAAAATATTCTGTAGTTGAAAATATGCTGCTTCAAGATAATGTACAGTTGACAAGCAACTCTCCATTCCTGAAAAAATAATGGAGCGTTCAAACAATAGAATGACGTCACAGATGTGTTTTAACTCCACGTCTTGGGCGTTCATACGGTCACACTTTCTGAAGATTAATTGCCACGGCGTATACGTATTTAATCATTCATATGTTCTGGTGAAATATTGATCGAGTTGTTTATCTATCGCGGAAAACTGATAGTAAATTAACAAATACGATGATTGTTTATAATTGAAGATGGTTCTCATAGTGGAATTAATATTAAGTTTTGTTCTTATATATCAAAGACGTCTTGTCAGATGACAACCATGCCATCACATGCAGCAGACATCGGAGAGTTCTGGTAGAGATTTCCGTATAAGTAACTAGAGCATTAAAACGTGATATAGTGTCATGGGGGATGGTTATAGAGAGATACGTGAATTCTAACCTTTCAGTCAGTCTGATAAAGGAGTTTAGAGTGAGCGTGCGAGTATGCAATCTCCCGGCAATATCAATACAATATATCGTAATACAGGCAACTACTTTTATTCTCTTCGGTTGGAAATTTTATATCCCAAAGGTCACGAAGCTACTTACTTGCATAAGGCGCCGCAAGTCGCTGAGCAGAGTTGCGTCCCTTAGGTAGTGCTTGGCTATAGTGGTTTATGTTCTATATTCGCTCCGATTGTGATCCTCGGTCTGTCAATACCATACACGTCCTTGTTAGTGTCACAAAAAATTGTTTGTTTGTTGTTTAACGCCGCACTGAACACTATTCCATCTTTATTACAATCCAGTGATTGTCAACATGAGCATCGACAACTAGGACACACAAACATGCATCAACCAAATCAGCGAGCCTGACCACCTGATCCCGTTAGTCGCCTCTTACGACAAGCATAGTCGCCTTTTACGGCAAGCATGGGTTGCTGAAGACCTATTCTACCCGGATCTTCACGGGTCGTCAAAAAAGCAGTAAAAGTCTAATTCATCCGCTTCGGGCTTATCGGCAACTGTATACAGCGGTGTTAATCCTCAACTCACTAACCACAAAGGTGGAGCAGTCTAGAGGCAAAGCGTTCACTCGTCACACCGAAGGCCGGGTTTAGATTCGCCACATGGGTACAATGCGTGAAGCCCATTTCTGGTGTCCTCCGCCGTGATGTTGCTGGGATATTGCTAAGAGTGGCGTGAAACTATACTCACTAACGCAGGCGTGGACAAGACACACCACTGCGAGCATGGAACCACCTCTTCGGGGTAAACGTACATGCTAAGTCAGCCAGGTATCTCACCATTCTCTATAAGAAAATACAGCAGCCGTTGCCTTTCGATGCGTTTTAAAGTCCCCTATTATAACAACTCTAGGTAGCATGGACCATGGCCCCAGAGTGAGTGAGTGAATTTTGTTTTCGTCGGAGTCAGCAATATTCAGGATATGTCACGATGACCTCTAAATGTCTGTATAATTTCATGAAAACTTAACTAGATTATTCAGAAAAGCAACAGAACTGTTCAAGACACGCATACGTAACCTACTTTGTAATAAGTGAGTGAAATCAGCAATATTCTACTCATACCACGGCGACCTGTGAAACTTGGCCCCGGTAGACAATGGTTAAATAGTCGACCAACCATCCAGGGGCAGGATGACAAACAATCATCCAGGTCACGCATTGTTAGCACCCTCATTAGTCGACACTTGACGACGACGGGATACGTGGTACCTATTCTGTCTCAGAACCCCCACGGGACTGGTTCAGCAGCATCAGCGACTGAGGTGGATGCTACGCTGTTTCTAAGGAATTGATCAGTTATCAGTTGTGTTGTCAGGTGTCGCGCTAACACAGGTGGCATCGCTTACCTAGAGACGAGGTGCCGCTGTAATCAGTCACAGCAGAAGAAGGAACACACAGGTAAGTGTAAACATATACACATATACTGTTTGGTTTATAGAACTTACATGAAGTTAAAATATGTATGTTTACAATATAAACATATATCCTGAGTGTATTATTTAATGAAAGATACGTTACAGTTTACTTGCATATTGTCAGGCGAATGTTTATATTTTCTCTTCTCAAACGTTTGGGTAAAGTTATGTTATGTGTTGCGTGATCTTTTCTTCATCACTGTTTTTCAGTGATCCAATCTTAGAGTTATGACAGCTATTTTGCCTTTTACGCCGAATGAAATCTGTTTTCAGATAATCGAGACTGGTGATTGTTTGCTTTGACGTTTTATATTTATTTGATTAACTAAAAGAAATAAGGATTCATATTGCTATTTCCTTGAGGATAACGAAAATATTACTTTCTCAAGTTGAGTTGAAATGGTTTGTGTAGTAGTTGGAAAATGATCTGAAGAACGAAACAGCCGGAGAGGTGGACATTAACTTGCGATGGCATTGGGTGACTTAACGTTAAAGAATTGACAACATCGTATAACTAAATATACTGACGGAAATAAATAAGGGAACACTCAGTTTTAGACACAGTAAAATGATATGCTAACATTGGTTCCCAGCCTTGTCTACAAAAACGCTTTTGAAACAATGCACACAAACACATCTCAACATTTGATTCTGACATGTGTTGAATCTGTATGCGCGCTGTTTCAAATGTACTGACAGCAAAGCTTATTTCCCTATATTTTTCATTGTTCCCTTTTTCGTTTCCATAAGAATATTATCACAGATACTAGATATTACCGTGTGAACTAAATGTCATCATTTTAACTATGTCATCACATACAAAACATATCACATAAACACGATATCATTATATAAAATTATAGATATTAACACATAAACAATAAATCATCTTATAATTTATATATCATATGAACGAGATATCATCATATAAACCAGGTATCACGTAAAATAGATATATAAACTAAATATCATCGTATAAACTACATATGACATAACTAGCTATGATTTAAACTAGATATCAGCGTATAAACAAGATATCACATATCAGAATATAAACTAGATATCAGAATATAAACTAGATATCATCACGGGAACAAGATATAATAACATAATAGATATCACATAAACAAGATATTTTCTTATAAACTAGATGGCATATAAACTAGCTATCACATAAACTAGATATCATCACATAAGCTAGATATCACATAATCTAGATATCATCACATAAACTAGATATCAGTATGGCTACTAAGTACATGAGTAAATACATCAAATCGCATTGAAGACGAACTATTATCACGTGACCAGACGCCATGACGGATACTAGATAATATATGTTTCTTATAAGCCAAACAACGGACACAAATTCTACTGATATAATGTGTATTATCCGTTAGCTAAATGCAGTAGCGATGTAATGCAGACAATATGGACAAGGTATGACAATGTAGACAATATGGACAATGTATGACCATATGGACAATGTATGACAATGTTGATAATATGGACAACATATGACAATGTAGATAATATGGACAATGTATGTCAATGTAGACAATATGGACAAAATATGACAATGTAGATAATATGGACAATGTATGACAATGTAGACAATATATGGACAACGTATGACAATGTAGACAATATATGGACAAAGTTTGACAATGTAGACAATATGGACCATGTATGACAATGTACACAATATGGACAATGTATGACAATGTAGATAATATTGACAACATATGACAATTTTGATAATATTGACAATGTATGACAATTAGACAATATGGACAATGTATGACAATGTAGACAATATGGACAACATATGACAATGTAGATAATATGGACAACGTATGACAATGTAGACAATATCGACAATGTATGACAATGTAGACAATATGGACAGTGTAGACAATATATGGGCAACGTATGACAACGTAGACAATATGGGCAACCTATGATAATGGAGATAATATGGACAAGATATGAAAATGAAGACAGTTTGAGATTCCTATACTCTGCTCTATAACCTCTCCCTAGGGAGCAGCATAAAGCAGACCTTTTTGTACCAACCACCAGCTCGTGTGCAGCGCTGTGTCGTCGTCATCGACAGCGTCATGCTTGCTTCAATGCATCACAGTCAGCAACCTTTTATCTGTCAGCTTCCAGAAGCAGAAACCCCTGTTAAAAAAGATAAACATATTCATGTATGAAATTAACTCTTTGTTACGCTGTAATGGAGACCATGCACAAGTGTCTCCACAATGCATCATATGAGGTATAACTACGGTTGCCAGTAAAAATCGTTACTTTGAACAAATGCAATTATGGTCATTGTTTTCGGGGAAGAAGTAACTGCATCAATATTCTGACAGACGTCGAACGAAACACTTATATATCGAGCAACAAAGTCGATGTCATTAATCGATCAATTAAGTGACAACACTGTCTGGATCCGATGGAGTATGAAAACGCCCTACGCAACGCGTTTCATTTCATGCCAGTTTCTTGTCTGACCTACACTTTTTTTTATGGCAGAATAGGTTCAAGATAAAACTATGGTAGTCTCAATAGGTCTCCAGCAACCTATGCATGTCTTAATAGGTCTCCAGAAACCTATGCATGTCTTTGTAGGTCTCCAGAAACCTATGGATGTCTTAATAGGATTCCAGAAACCTGTGCATGTCTCAATAGGTCAGCAACCTAGGCTCGCCTTGAAGGTCACCAGTATCCAAGGCTCGTCTTAATAGGTCTCCAGAAACTTATGAATGTCTTAATTGGCCTCCAGCAACCTATGCATGTTTAATAGGTCTCCAGAAACCTATGCATGTCTTAATAGGTCTCCAGACACCTATGCATGTCTTATAGGTCTCCAGTAACCTATGCTTGTCTTAATAGGTCTCCAGACACCTATGCTTGTCATAATAGGTCTCCTGCAACATATGCTTGTCATAATAGGTCTCCAGTAACCTATGCTTGTCATAATAGGTCTCCAGCAACCTATGCTTGTCATAATAGGTCTCCAGAAACCTTTGTATGTCTTTATAGGTCTCCAGAAACCTATGCATGTCTTTATAGGTCCCAAGCAACCTATGTTTGTCATAATAGGTCTCCAGAAACCTATTTATGTCTTAATAGGTCTCCAGAAACCTATGCATGTTTTAATAGGTCTCCAGAAACCTATGCATGTCTTTATAGGTCTCCAGCAACCTATGCTTGTCATAATAAGTCCCAAGCTGCCTATGCCTGTCTTATGCGGGTTCTCAGCAGTCAAATTGCAGTCATATCACGGCCTGTCAGGAGGAAAGCGCAAAGTGATGAAGACCTTACAGCATGGGTATGGTGCTGACAACCTAGAATCTTATTCACGAATGATCGTAGTATCCTGGCCCACCTAAGGGACTCAACTCTGCACAGGGAATTGCGGCGCTTTGGGCGACAAGACTTCAATTGACAACCGAGGTGTCTTTGACAATGTGAAGTGATGTATGTCACCTACAACGTCACATAATCAAAACGTATTGTGCTACAAGCAAGGTGATGATGAAGAGAAGTGTAGTGGGACCATGGTGTGTTGCCCATTGTCCGTGTGTGGTCGGACAGTGCAATTAGTGACATGTGTGAAAGTGAGACGTAACATGTATTATATGATACATACTACTCACCCTTTGGGGTCTGAATGTGACTGATTGCTCGGATATGTTGTCATACCAATAGTATTCGATATTGCCAAGGGAACTGAAGCATGTGCAACATTTCAAGTTGATTAAACATAAATACACAGTTCAATACGTTGTCGTCGTGTTACGTCACAGTATGAAATATTTCCGTATCCCTGTCAAATGTTGAGTAGCATATTACAATGCAAAAGAAAAGTTGTGTTTGAACAACTTGAATCAGCTTTCTCGGAATGCCAATTTGACTGAGCCTAGCCCCAGTTATCAAACACAAATCGGCCAGCTCAACGCCATGACACGATCTATGTTAAAGTATGAAAAGATAAAAGGATTAACAGTTAACTATGGAATCCTAGGGACATTGTCGCATTGTGTTGTCGCATTGTCGCATTGACAAAAACAAGAAAAAGTGTCAAAATAACTAAAGCGCGACAATGCGACATTTTGGCCATTTGTCGTATTGTCGCGCTTTGAATAATATTTCCCATTTTACCCAAGGGCGACAATGCGACAACGCGACTTTTTTCAAGGTCCAAATATGTCGCGTTGACGCAATGTCGCGCTTTGGTTAATTTTGACACTTTTGGCTTGTTTTTTGTAAGGACGACAACGCGACAATGTCCTTTCTAGGATTCCATAGATAACGAATGGCGATACTAGATGACGGGATGACAAGGTGTTATCACAAAGTCACGTCTTGCAGGATGTCTGTGTTGTTTTTACGCTGCACTCAGCAATATTCCAGCTACGTAATGCTCTGTGAATTATCGAGTCGTGTCCACCATGAGCATCGATCAACGCTATCGGGATGCAATGACGTGCAATCAACCAAGTCACCGAGCCTGACCACCTTGTCCATTCAGAGACTCGTACAACCAGCATAGGTTGCTTGAGACCTACATTCTCACCCGGAGTCTCCACTAACCCCAAGTTGGCTTCACGGTTTCGACCTCTGGCATTTAAATAATATTAATCAAAGCAATCAGTCGGCCAAAAGAAAGTACACACCCATGTTTGATGATGAAGAAAACAAGAAATAATTGGATGGTGATGTGTTTCATACGGATATCATAGCTGCGTTTTGGAGGGCTGCGACCGTTGTGTCACCTTTGAGCGATCAAAAACTTGCCATGACGCTCAATGGTCGCCAAAACCCAGAAAATCATGTTTCTATGTAACTGCTCCAGCATTTGTTCAGCAGTAACTGCTCGAGTTGTTCAGCGCCTGCAACTACAATGAAACACTGCAGGTACAAGCCGTCTATTTAAAGGCAGGGTGAGGAGGCACTACAGGTTGCTCAAAGGAGGCAGAAAAGAGGCAGAAGCATTGCCATGGTGTCTCAAGGGTTGCCGTGGTCGCCGAATGGAGGCACGGCGATCGCAACAGTAATCGTTCAATGCACGCTGTTGGTCGCCCAAAGGAGACACAAGGAAGGCAGAAGCATCGCCCAGATTGACGGGAAAATATTTCAGCAGAACGCATCTACTACCTGGCGACCATTGGGCGATCGCTGTGCCTTCATTCTGCAACAACGGCAATGCATATTCCTCCCTCTGCCTCCTTTGAGCCACCTTTGAGCAACCAACCTCCCCGGCGACCTTTGTGCGACTGTTTTGAACATGTTCAAAAATTCACGGCGACCATGGCGTCCATGGCGATGTCTGAACCTCCTGTGTACCACCTACGAACGACCTAGGCAATTATTCTGCCTCCTTTGAGCCTCCAACTACGACCTTGCAAATTTTATGGTCGCACACGGGAGGTACAATGGTCGCCATCCTGTGTAAAGGACCCATTATGTTCAAAGGGTGTCGGCGACTGTTTTCAGTCTCGTAACGTTTTGATAACGTTTGTAATTGTCTGGACAAATCCGATTCCAAGTGTATACTTTCTTTTGTCCGTCAGTTTAATTATATCGTGTTATTCTCAATAATAGAATAAAGGAAGTAGAACAGGTTAGCGGCGTGGGTTTGTTTTGTATGTTTCTAAGTTTAATGCTCCTGGTACTTTAAGGGTAGGTCTGGCATCCTTTTAGTGTAGAAAGCAGGATGTGAAGGTTTTTTGGCCAACAAATAAGAACATGATATGATTTTCACGAATTCTTGTTCAATCATGCCCACTATAAAAAAACGAACTTGGATGTTGACACTGCATGTTGTTGACAATGGCGTCCATGACAACGGGTAAAGCATCGTTGTATTGTACTGAGACAAATCCACGGAGGGCGAGCTGTGTCGCCGGGCTGCATCCCAGGGGGCAAAGGTCACGAGCATCTTACCTACGGAACATAATAGAAAAACAGTTAATATTTAACACCGCTAGGAGACGGGTTGTAATTCAAACCTCATCGAACTCCCGCGAGTTTTGTTTTCTTGTTTTCTTTTTAGTTCTTTGGCATATGGTTTAACTCCACGGGAGGTGTCACTGGCGTGTCAAGTTCAGTTTATTTCTCAAAAAGACCCACCAACGGTGGTACATGAGAAAAATTATAATATAAATTATAATTATATAATTCAAATATAAATTCATAATATAATAATAATAATAATAATAATAATAATAATAATAATAATAATATCAAGATGACAGGCGTATTGTTCAAATACATATAGAGATTAAAAATTACAATGAAAAATAGGACAGAATTAAAGTGACAAGAATGTCATACACGCTTCAACATTTCAATATTTGTCATTTCTGAAGATGGTATTGATGAATTTGGACAAGATTTTCATACTCTTATACTGGATAAACATTATTTTTCAATTTTTACATATACGGCCATTCGTAGAGATATTTTGGTATGTACATAGACCGTCACTGGAGAAGAGCTTCAGTGTTTTAATACAAAAGTGATTGTTGTGGTTTGGTAGAAGTTTGGATATTTCTACATGAGAGAGATAGTGAAAACAGCATAACACCTATGTCGTCGACATATAATGACAAGAGCAGGGGAACGCTAGAGAGGAGAGCTAGTAAGGGCGTGACCTTAGACGTCACTGAAGGTAACTCATCCACTGAAGTAACTACACATGCGTCACCAAAGCAACAAACGGTTGGTTGGTTGGTTGTTTAACGCCACACTCAGCAATATTCCAGCTATATGACCGCTGTCTGTAAATAATCGAAACTGGACCAGACAATCCAGTGATTAATATCATGAGCATCGATCAGCAACAAACGGCTTCGCTACGGCAGCTAAGTGGATTCACAGGGGTAACCATGGTAAGTCACCGATGTACCTGGGGTGAGGAGTCACTCAGGTGACGAAGGGGTACGCTAACTAAGGAAATTTCCGAGATATCCATGGGTTGTCACCAAGGTAACTAAGGCGTGGCGTCACTGAGGTTACCAAGGGGTACGCTAACTAAGGACATTTCCGAGATATCCATGGGTTGTCACCAAGGTAACTAAGGCGTGGCGTCACTGAGGTTACCAAGGGATACGCTAACTTAGGGAATTCCCTCCGTTAAGTCAGGAGATCCACGTGGACGGGGGTTACCATGAGGTCACCGAAATAACTTTGGTGAGGATTCACTGGGGTAACCAGGGGGTACGGTGACTAAAGAGATTCACTCCGGTAGGTCAGGAGAATCATGGGGTAACCAAGGGTACGGTGACTAAAGAGATTCACTCCGGTAGGTCAAGAGAATCATGGGGTAACCAAGGGTACGGTGACTAAAGAGATTCACTCCGGTAGGTCAGGAGAACCATGGGGTAACCAAGGGTACGGTGACTAAAGAGATTCACTCCGGTAGATCAAGAGAATCACGGGGTTACCAAGGGTACGGTGACTAAAGAGATTCACTCCGGTAGGTCAGGAGAACCATGGGGTAACCAAGGGTACGGTGACTAAAGAGATTCACTCCGGTAGGTCAAGAGAATCATGGGGTAACCAAGGGTACGGTGACTAAAGAGATTCACTCCGGTAGGTCAGGAGAACCATGGGGTAACCAAGGGTACGGTGACTAAAGAGATTCACTCCGGTAGATCAAGAGAATCACGGGGTTACCAAGGGTACGGTGACTTAAGAGATTCACTCCGGTAGGTCAGGAGAACCATGGGGTAACCAATGTATCTTCGGTGAGGAGTCACTGGGGTAACCAAAGAATAGGGTAACAAAGGGCATTCACTCCGGTAAGTCAGGAGAATCACGGGGTAACCAAGGGTACGGTAACAAGGGGGGTTCACTCTGTTAACGAAGGGAATTCAAGGGGATAACCAAAGGGTGTTACCGAGGTAACAAGAAGTCACTCAGGTAACTAGGGGCTACGGTAATTAAGGCGATGCACTCGGGTAACTTACAATATTCAAGAGGTAACCAAGGGGTATGGTAACTAAGGCGCAGCACTCCGATAAGTAAGGACATGCACAGGGGTAACCAAAGATTCGTTGCATCATTCTCAACTCCCTGGGGAGTATACAGCTGCCTACGGGCGCTAGAGGGTTTTTTTTCATCCATCTGACATTTCGGGTACCTATTCCCTGATGGGTGAACAGAGACCCATTTGAATGAAGTCACTTGCCCAGTGTGACACCGCAGAAGCACGCCATGGATGACATAAAAAGGCAAAAGAAATATTAACGTTTCGTTTGTCTTCATATTGCATAAAATAAGTTTGTGTTTGTGTTAGTCTCCACAGTCCATCGATTTGGTATCAGATGTCGAAACTGTCAATAACGTTATTGAAACGTCCCGACCACACATCTAGCGTCTGATGGTGTACAGTGTGATATAGTGCGTGTTGAGTGAGGCTCGCACCTGTAACTTCCCGGGCATAAGCAGGTTGATGTTGCTATCTTGACAAAATCAATACCAACTCGCGACCATCGCATGATAAACAAACTACAAAACGCTGAGTAAACATCCTTTCACAGTACAATGGTCCGTGACGACACGACGTAAGCACCACACTACAAGACCATTGTGCTTCATCGTCGAACATTGTGTCTTAAACTTAAGTACAAAATGCATCTCGAAACACTGTGCTTGACCAACAACCATAAGCTCATATCGGCTGCACTTGTATATTAACCCTTTTTACGCGTACGATATTTTTCAAAAGTGACCGTTCTTGAAAAGACTATTTAGGAATGTATTTATGTATTTATGTATTTATATATCGGTGTTTGTGTGTGCGTGGTGGGGGGAGGTGGGGAAGGGGGGGGGGGGGACTATTAATTAGATTTTTGTATCTATGTTGTGAATCCATGATTTCATGTGGTGAAACGTCACTGCCTATAAGGTTACCTCACCACCCCTGATATAAACGGCGTATATGCCTGATTGTTCAGACGGTTTGGTAGGCCAGCAGGTAATGCGTACATTGGCTCCTACAAACCTTGGACGTAATCTGGGTCTCGATCCAACGTGAAAGTATGGTGCACTAGAAGTAAGAAGCGACTAACGGGATTGGGTGGTCAGGCTCGCTGACTTGGTTGATGCAAGTCATCGTATCCCATTTGCGTAGATCGATGCTCATGGTGTCAGTAACTGGATTGTCTGGTCCAGAATCGACCGCCGTCATATAGCTGGAATATTGAAGAGTGTGGCGTTAAACAATAAACAAACAAAGATGTGAGATTAGTACATATGTGGAGGGACAAAGTGTGTAAAGAAGGGGACAAAGGGTTAAATGCAAGGTTATTTATTGTACAAGGTGATGCCTTCAGTGCACTTCCATTGAGATTCGATAAAAAAGAATGTTTTTGCTGATTTAGAAGCATCTTCTTGATTGGATTATGCGTAGACTCGTAAGGTTATAACTATAACTCCAGCCTACTTCGACATGGTCGGAAACTGGACTTTTATTGTCATTTATTTTACTCCCTTGTCTATGGAAGAATTTTTAAAACAATCTGGTACATAATATAACATGACTTGGTTTTATTACGAAAAGACTTAAAAAGAGATCAATTATATTCAGCGAGTATTTTTTATTTCATGATCCATGTCATTCATCTTTTTCCCTGTCCACAGTACTAAATACAGAATGTAAAAAAACCCATCCAAAATAACTATCAAATAAAAGAGGTTCTCATGCATTCGGGATACATCCGGGAATATGAAAAGATATATGTGAGGTGGATGTAAAAACCCTCTGGCGCCCGTAGGCAGCTTGGGTTGTATACTCCCCTGGAAGTTGAAAATGATAAGTGGAAGGCAAAGGGATCCACAACAACAACAATAACAACAATAATCACTTATGCCATTTTTAATTTCAGTCACATTCCATCATCGTCTGTGTTGTGTTGCAACTCGACATGAACAACGCGCAGATCCTAAGGAACCACGCCCTCTTTCAGAAGAGCTGGACCAACTGGCCGTGTAACCATGGCCTGCCCTCGCTGTCCAGCGGGTCACGGACCTCCAGGGCCACGGGGTCAGAGTCACTCAACATGTCGCTCGCCACCAGTTCCAAGTCCGGTAACTCGCAGCCTCGATTTCGAACGGTCAGTACACGTAACAATCAAATGCCAGCTCGCCCCTTTCCGTAACCTTCAAGAAGATTCGGCTTGTCCCGGAATAACACGAGTTGGTCACGAATGCTAAATGTGGCTGTAAAAGTTCACCATCACATGAACTGACTGTTACAAAGTTTTGTCCGTAAAAACTGACGAAATGGGGATTGGACGGACCCAATGAGTTACTTTGATGACTGTGTAGTAGTACCCGAGATCATTCGTGACCAACTCGTGTTATTCCGGGACAAGCCGAATAGCAGGTTACGGAAAGGGGCGAGTGGTGACGAATGGAATCTATGTCAACCACTTTGCACACATGCACGAAACGATTATTGTAATGTATTGTAGAACTAAGAACTAAGATTATTGTAACTCTGATAGTTTAATGTAGGCTTATGGAAGTCGTTTTGAGCCAATTGGCGACTTGGTTCGAGTGCGAGTGACCGGGGTTGATAAAACAATTCTAGAGTTGCAAGCTAAAAGAGGCCCTAAGGGGGAGTGGGTGAGTTTGATTTAACAGTATT